AATAATTAAATTAATAAAATATTAATCATAACTATATAATCTAAGTAATAACATGTGTGGTCATAATTACAGCTATAATTAAAATTTGAAAAAATCTTTAAATTTATTACTTTTGCCCATTTCTTTTAAAGATAAAATATTTTGCTATGCAAATTACACTTTTTATAACATTAATAGAATGGAACAACTCTAATATCAAAGATTCAAAATACCCAGTTATAGCTTATAAATGTGCCGTCCCCACTCTGTTTCTTTTAACTTAAAAGACCACACACTAGAGCTTGTAACTTTTTTTTCTAAAGTAATTTTTTAATATTTGAAAATTATATTGGACCTTAACTGATCCAGAATTAAATCATGTTAAATTTTATAAGAAGAAAATTTTTTAAATATTTATTTTTTTATTTATAAAATTTAAATTCAAAATTTTATTTAAAAAATATAAAATTTCTTTCATTAAAATCAACGTGTTGTTGTCTAAAGCTTATAGCTCATGATGTACCTTGCATGTTTCTCCGTCACAGAGACATGGGAATGGGCAGTCCCTTCAAGTTCTCTCCCAAAATAAGCTTCAGTGTTCTGATTTTCAAATGAAAGCAGAGTATGATCTGATCCATTCTAAATTATTTTGGTGACACTGCAATTTTTTTAAACTAATAAATTCCAGAAATTTTATTCAATATACCTAAGATCATATTTTTTTTTGTCAATGACTTAAGTAATTCAGTAGTTATCTTTTTTTGGTTGGAAGTGTAAGATCTTAAATTCGAATTGCATGACATATAGATAGGATGTGATAAAGAAAAAAAAAAAAACTAAGAAACCTTTCCCTTTCACACTTCATGCTGAGATCTAGTCACATGTCATTTCTTTTTTTATTTTTTTGCCTTTTTTTATGTACAACGGGGTCATTGCATATTGCAAGTGAATTCTAATTCAAATAACACCTCAATGTGATATTTTAATATAAAATGTAAAAATAGGTCATGGTTATGATCACATAATTTTTTTTAAGGTCACATAAATATGTTATATATTTGTTTGATTTAATTAAATTTATTAATTTTTAATTAGTTAAGATGTTTAGAAATATTATTATTTAATTAGATTAATTTTAAACTGTTAATTAATACTCTCCTCATCTCAAAATGGGTTTTGATTTTATTTTCTCTATTATTACCTATTTTACCTTT